CAGGCGAGCTAAAATATTTGTTTTGTCAGGGAGAAAGAAGAAAAAATGGCCTGGACAAATCCCAAAAAGTCAAGCGTTGCTCATGTTTTACGCCACATTTGCCGGTACAAAAAAAAGTTGTCAACACAAAAAAGCACACGAACACCACCCGCACACTCACACACACAGTCAAGGACCAGACACAAACACCTTTATACCCACACCAACACCTCCCACAGGAAGCAGAGAGGAAACTTTATTTATAATAGAATTTTCAAGCATGACCATACCCTCCATGACGTCAGGAATATGTAGATTTTGACAACACTTCAAAAACGCGAAGGGCAATATTATGATTAAAGGTAATGCCATTTATAATGATAACAATATTAATAACAATTCATATTCAATCAATTTTTCTAAAATATTGATATATAATATGATTTTATAATAAATGAAAAGGGTTTAAGAATCCTAAAAATATAAAATAACTAAAATTTATCACAATTTTTAAAATTAATTAATTACAAATTTAATCTGTATATAAAAAAGAATTTTTAAATACATTTTATTATTATTAGCTGGACTAAAACATCTCCGTTGATTTAAATTTATTTAAATTTGCATTATGTGTTAGAATTTATTGGCTTACTTTATTCTGTAGGGCATAAAAAGACTCGTTTTGTCTCTTTTAAACTTTTTGGCTCCAGACCCGTTTTATGGCTTCTGATGCTTTGCCTCTTACTGGTTGCCACAAATTGCCTTTTTCGCACGTTGATTGATTTTGGAACTTTTTCTTATGGTAGAACTCCTTGAACCTCCCCGCTAAGCCCCAAAGCCCCCAGCCCCCAAACCATTACAGACATTCGCACAATCGCTTGGGCTCTTTACTTTCAGTACAAAAGTGGTAATAAAACTGCTGCACTTCGGATGGCTCGCAATTGTTCAACTCGGTTCTTGCCTCGGCTGACCTCCATCGATCCTGGGCCACCGCCTATAGTTGTGGCACACATAATTATTTATTTACGAGTGTTCATTCATTGATGAACACAAACGCCGTTTATATTGCTCTTTTGCCCTCAGGCCCAATGCGAAAATGTGAGGGTTCAGGCCGGTTCACCTCGCCTAAAGTGCGGCCTTTCTTTCACTTTTTTGTTGCCAGGTGTAAAAATAGTCAGTGACGTTGCCAAAGTTGGAAAATAGAAAAGGAGCATTCAGGATAGCTGCTGTTTATGCCTCTGTACGCAACGGTTTTTATACAATTATTTATACTGCCAAGAATTCTCATGAAAACAGAATGGAAAAATAAGGGTAGGTGCAAAAAACGGTTGTTTATGAATGAGAATAAGTTAATCAAGACACCATTTGCGCACCATTGTAAGCTATTATTATTTTTAATATAAAATTAATTTAAAATTTTTGCCATTTAAAATAGCATTGTTTTTGAAAACAGAAAATTGTCCTTCTTCAGCTTTAGTCCTCCATCTAGATGTTATTTAAATGTAGTTCCTTGACAATCAAACTATTCAAATGGAAGTAGAATACATTTTTTAATCACCTTTAAGTAAAACATTCATGAATCTTTCAGGAACTATTCTTTAAAAAAATTGCAAAGTCAATAAACTACAATACCCTAATAATATTAGGTCAGTTTAAATCAATTTTCGTTTTATTATCACCCAATAAACTATTAATAATTGTTTGGCTTATCCTTGGCAGCAAATCTCATCCAGCCCTGCATATACATATATTAACTCAATGGGTTAAATCAATGTCGAAACACTCCTGCAGGCTTAATAGCGGAACACCAGGGTACCTAAATATAGAACTGCATGCATAATGCACCCCGTTTTGCAAGCATTAATGGGACAGGAGGACCTCGGAGGACCCTCGGCTGAGGCATGTTCCTGCAGCCCCAGACATATCCATTATTGAGTGCGGAATGGCAACAGCCTGTGGGTGCGTTGTACACAACGCTATTATAATTATAGCCGTATGGATTAAGCCAGCCCACTCCACCTTCCTCGTTAGCCACCGGAGCTACTCGAGGATTAACGTCGGGACTGTTCGGATATGTGAGGAAGCAGCACCTGTCCGACTTGTCATAAAGGGGAACCCGCATAATACGAACAGTAGAGGTCCACAAAACACAGGACTACGGGTTACCCCCTATTAACAAGACTTCATGACTTGGTTCTATCTCACTTTCTACTCAAAAATTATAAAAAAGAAAGCATACTTTATAATGCGAATTTATAGTTTAAAAGATAAGGAAAATATTTATAATATTATGTAAAAACTGATTCTAAACAGTCGATCCCAGGGAAACTTTGATAAAACACAAATTTTGTTCATAGCAGCATAACATAATTAGATTTAAGCTTCAAAAGCTTTGTTCATTAAGAACAAAATTGGCTTGGAATACGTTTAGAATTAAACAATTAGTGCACTTAGAGATTTACGTGAAATAAAAAATAAATACATACCAAAAATTCAATCCTTAGATTAAATTTAAAAGTCTATCCGGAGGTCCTTTACAATAATAAGTTATTTTAATTATTTGAATTATTGATTTCAAAAACTCTTTGTTATATTTTCGAACTATACAATGTATTTAGTTAAAGACTAAATGATTCTTAACCATCTTTAAGGAAATTAAAAGAATTGTCTTGTATTATCCCTTGAAATTCAAAATAACTTTGAATAGAAAATATGCAATCAGCGTGAAACAATATGCCTCTAATTTTGATAAGTACCAGGTAGAATATTAAAAATTTGCAGGCAGCACTGCAGTTGAATGTTAGTGAAAAAGGAAAAACGATCCGAGAAGGAAGCGATTTACATAAGTTATTATGGCAAACCACACAAGTGTGTCGGCTCACGTGAGCGATGTGTCCGAAAGATGTACAAATGTAAATGGAGAATGTCAGAAACTGTATTTCACAAACAGGCCCTTATTATTTTCCCTTATACGCGAATGTATTCCCCTCTGGTAAGCACCATAATCAGCACTAATGGACACGCTGAAGTATTTTCACGAAGGCTAAAGCTGCACTTTAGTTGCGGAAAAGCCAAGACAAGTCAGAGCCCACCTATCAGGTGCACAGATTTTTCTTTCTCGCGTAAAAATTGTGTTAAACGTGCGAAAATCAAGTAATTTGCCATTACGCAGCATGGAAAAATGCTTCTACCCTTGATTTTCTCATTTTTTTTCTCAAACTTGTTGAGAAAATTTCTGGTTGTTGCTTTCATGATTTTTGTTGTGGGCATTTCACCACTTATATATAATGAGAAAGTCTTTGGGCAGAAACCCTTTCTTAGAAAAGGTAAACAAAGCCCTAGTTAGCTTCATTCAAAAATGTGTGCGTATTTTCCAAATCATTTCAAGTGCGCACAACCACGAAAGTTGTTTGGGAATTTGTTTGCTAATGAAGCCGAAGTGGGTTGTATAGGGTACGTTTAAGTTGACCGTACTCTGACCTTTATTACCAGGTCGGAAATGTTATATTTGTCCCAGAATGCGGACAATTTCATCTGTTAACGGGGCCCAACAAATTGGCAACTTACTGCGCTCGAACGTGAGGTCATTAAAATCACAAATTCCACAGCCATTTGGAGGGGCAATTAAATATTCTTGGGTTAGACCCTGGCTTGAAGGTCGATTTAGGCCATAAAAGTGTTGTATTTAAGGACTCATAAATCATGATCTCGCTATGCTGTCGTCAACGTTCTCAAAACAACAGCGTAATTGCCGCGTAGTTATTAAATATTTCACATAAAAAAAGGGTTTCTCTGAAAAGGTATACACAGTGTTAAAAGCCTTTAAGCCGAGAGCAAAACGGAATTCTTTAAGAGGACAGTTGGCATCGGGGATAGCATAAGTAAAGTAACAAAATACGGCATGCCCTAATATTAGATTATTGTGTTACTCTCTTTTTACGACATAATACAGTAGTAACTCTTTTCTTTAAAGGGCTTGTATTACTTCTTATTTTAAATTACTTAGTAGGTATGCTTTAGTAATTTTGCAGCACTAAATTATATTATATTCTCCCTAACATTTTAATAACTTTAATTTTTTTATTTAAATAATATATAATATAATATATATAAAATATGTTTTGTTTCACCATTAACGAAAATTGTTAGGAAATAACTAAAATATCATAAAGTTAGTCTGTCCCATTGCAATAAACTTTTATTTATAACCAATCAAGATCCAAAACTCGAAATTTGTCAGCAAGTGTCAATCCAGCCTAAGTTATCAAAACTTAATAACATTCAAAATTGAGCCCGTCGTCGAGTCGTGTGTGGAACCAGTAAATAAAGGTGCAGAAATGCCTGCCTCTTTGTGGATTTTGTGGCTCAGAACCAAAACCTCTTAAGGCACCGGATCGCGACGTATGTGTGGCATACGTAATAGCCCCCAAGCATTGGGGAACAATCCAACAACCCGTTGGAGCCTGCCAAGCCGTTTATATCCGATTTCAGGTAGGGAATCCTGGCCAAGCAGGACGTGCAGGCATCCGTGACACAGTGAGAACCCCCGAGCAGACTGGGCCGTCCCGAGCCGTGGGCGATGGGCCATGAGCCATGTGGCAGGAGCCATGGGCCGGGCCAAGTGGCTGGGCCTACGTGGCATTATAAAGGCAACAGCCACGGCCACTTGCGCACGTCGCAGTCAGCTGAGCAGGGAAGAGCCGGGCGAAATTGGCGATGGAGCGACCGGGCTTATAAAAAATTAAAATGTTTACGCTACATTAAATGCAAAGGAGGCACTGCCACCGAGTTATGATTTTGCGAGTGCCAAAAACGCACACAGGCAGCGCACCTTATGGCACCTTTGGGAGTGAGTGCGAACCACGTTGCGTATGAGCAACGAGTGCGAACTACGCAACTTAGGGCGTAGTGTATGTGACCCACCCTACGTATGAGCAACTTATGAAGTAATGACTGCTAACTACACGGCGTATGAGCAACTTAGACAATTTGCACACCGCACCTCCGAAATGCAAATGTTTTTATTTGATGCGCACAATTTTAAACTTCCACAACATTTCCATAACGAACGGCCGACGACTTTCCGCCATTTTCACACGCACCGACAGCTGAAATTGTCCAGGTGGATGAAAGCTGGGCAAAAAGGACATTGTGTTCTCGCTCTTCAGATAGTAAACCTTCGGCTTGATGGGGCACTTAAAGTAACTGCCATTGACCAACAGCCGATTGTAGGTTTCGTGAAGCGCCTTAAACAGCAAGGGATTGTTCAGAAACTCACAGCCGCCAATGTTTTCCATCTTGTACAAAACTCTCTGTGTTTTCATCACTTTCGTGGTAATATCGATGGTAAAGGCAGGTGCCAATTTTACCACCCGAAAAGTATATAGCTGCTTTTTGTTTGGCACCTTATGGAAGTACTCCACATAATCGTGATCGCAATACGTCTCCGGAGATTGCAAAGTATACTCTGTGTTGCCCCTCTTGAGGACCATTGTCTGCGGGAATTTTGATTATTTTGCGGTTATGAATCAACTGCTTTAAAGATAAAAATACCTCGTTGGCTAAAACAGATAGTATGCAAGCCAGACAGAAAGAAAAAAGAGAACTACCACTGAAAGCCATGGGACCAAAACTGACCAAATGAATTATTTTTCCTCAACTTAAATTCGACTGATGAGCTATTAATTGACCACAAAATATATTAGTTATGATTGCTTAATAATGGAAATGAAAAACATGTACTTAAGATTAAATAAATTATGTTACTTTCGAATGAAATAAATTAAATGTGTGCATTAGTATATAATTTCTTACAAATATAATTTCAGTCAAAAGTATTTATACCAAAATCACCTCTTAACGACGTAAAAAAGTCGTGACGATCGCACCTTCTAATATTACATTTTATGACGAAATTTGATTAAATATTCGACTAAATAAATACACTTTTTAAATTTTTCGCATTCTGTCTGATTTTGCAAAGGAAATAACCTTTTTGTCTACACAGGCACTAAATGAATAGGTATATTTTATTCCTTATCTCTTCTAACATTTTATTACAACTATTATAACGTTTTCTTCGGTATAAGTAATTTATACTTTTCTGCGAAATTTAATGCAAATATATATCATTTTGGCCGTTTTCTAAAGAGGCCCAATAAATATAAGAGTTCCCTCCTCACACTCTACAAGTTAGCATTGTCACTATGTGTCAACCCCAACTGATGAGCTATTAATTGACCACAAACTCACTTATTGTCAGAGTTTACTTAAAAACACAATTAATAAAAAATCGTGTATGACAGACTATATGATATAGAATAGAAAGACAGCTTTTGGGAATGTTTCAAGCAGATAGCTTTAAAACTGAGGGACTAGTTTGCGTAGAAACGGACAGATGGACGGACAGACGGACATGGCTAGATCGACTCTCCTGGTGATGCTGATCAAGAATATATATACTTTATAGGATCGGAAATGTCTCCTTCACTGCGTTGCAAACTTTTTACCCTCTGCAAGGGTATAAAAAAAAAGAAATTCATAAACACTTATATTGAAATTCTATAGATATAATACTTTGGACATGAAGCGAATTAAAAGAAAAGACAGCAATTTTCGAGTAATTTACTTAGAGCTTACGTGACATATGTGAGAACACTTTGAATACACTTTGAAATACACTTTGAAATACATGCAAAAAGAAAATGTATTCGATCCGAACATTTTAAAACATCCACATCATTTCTATAGCGAACGGCTGTCGACTTTCCGCCGTCCAGGTGTGTGGTCATTTAAAATCATTGACACCGAGCCCTCATATTTCATGTAGTAACCCATGGCCTTGATGACACATTTAAAGAGACTGCAATTGACCACGCTTGTAGGTTTCGCCCAATACTTTGAAAGAACCTGTTTGTTAAGGGACTTGCAGCCGATAACGTTTGCACTACTTTCAGTATTTTTGTTGGAATATCCATGGTAAAAGTAGGGGTCAATTGATTCACTCGGAGTGTGTATAGCAGGTTAGGGATTCTATTTTCCACTTTTGTAAAACAAGAGGTAGCGGGAGTTTTAATTGTAAAATTAAGTACATCAGAAGCGAGTATGCTGAGATCAACAACTCTTTTGCTACCACACCCATACAAAGCAGGAAAAAGGACATTACTTCTGAAACCCACGCAGCCACAATTCCCTTAATGTTTTATTTCTCCACCACAATTCCTCTGATGAGTTATTAATTGACCACAGCCCAATCATTCATGTGAAAAATAACTTAATATAATCGGGAAAAATCCAGTTATGGTCAGACATTTTTTTACATGAAAATAAAAAAAAATTTCAAATGTGCCTTCATGTTTTTCATAATGTTCCAATCAGTTTTAAAATTTATGCGTGAAAAACTAGGATAGTGCATTTTTTTTCTGAAATCCTTGCAATGTTAGCTCATGATTATGTTTAAAATCCATTCATATGCTTTTGAAGCAAAACAATTGCTGAAGGAAGTTTTTTTAATTCTCCATCCATTTTTAAGAAAACATCCCGATAAACAGCTCATTTTACTTTATTCGAACAACGTTATAGATCACAATCAAGCGAATATTTCCAGAAGAATAAAACGGGATCACTAAAGACGAGAAAAAAGACGCCTGGTTTGATGGGACTCTTAAAAACAGTGGAGTTACCCACGAATTACCCACGAGCAGTTTAGGGCGTAATGCAGGTGACCCACCCGTCGAATGAGCATCTTATGAGGTAATGACTGCTAACTACACGGCGTCTAAGCAACTTTGACAATTTTCACATCGCACCTCCCGAAATGCAAATGGTTTTATTTGATGCGAACAATTTTATACTTCCACAACATTTCCATAACGAACGGCCGACGACTTTCCGCCATTTTTACCCGCATCGACAGCTGAAAGCGTCCAGGTGGATGAATGCTAGGGATTAAGGAGACTGTGGCCTCGTTCTTCAGATAGTAAACCTTCGGCTTGATGGGGCACTTAAAGTAACTGCCATTGACCACCAGGTGCTTGTAGGTTTCGCCAAACACTTTGAACAGCAGGGGATTGTTCAGAAATTCACAGCCCGCAATGTTTTCCATCTTGTAAAAAATTCTCTTCGTTTTTATCACTTTCACTGTTATATCGATGGTAAAAGCAGAGGCCAATTTCACCACTCGAAAAGTATAGAGCAGCTTCGTATTCGGCACTTTTCGGAAGTACTCCACATAATCGTGATCACAATACGTCTCCAGAGACTCCAGGATAAACTGTATGTTGCCATTTTTAAAGACCATTGTCTGTGGAAATTTCAATTATTTTGCGGATCTATATCAACTGTTTGGAATAATAATAATAAATTAGATTATAATACCTCATCGATGGCTGCTACAGAGAGTATGCAAACCAGACAGAGAGAAAAAAGAGAACAACCACTGAAAGCCATGGGACCACAACTGAGCAAATGATTTTATTTCCTCAACCAAAAACCTACTGATGAGCTATTAATTGACCACAAAACGTATTGGTAGCAATTACTTTATAATGAAATTGTGAACAAATTACGTATGATCAAATGAAAATCAGTTCATGCATTTTACATTTTGAAACCATTTAATGTTCTTTAATTTTTGTCCAAAAAATTAAAACAAAATCACTTGATGCGAATAATGTTGTACTTCAACAACATTTCTAGGTTGAACGGCTGAGAACTTTCTGCTACTTTCACTCGAAGCGACAGCTGAAAGCGTCCAGGTGGATGTATGTTTGGTATAAGCGACAAAATGTTCTCGGATTTCAAGTAGTAAATATTCGGCTTGATAGGACACTTAAAGAAACTGCCGTTGACCACGAGATGTTTGTAGTTTTCGCCTATTACTCCTAAACGAACCGGGTTACTTAAAAACTCACAGCCGTTTATGTTTTCCAATTTGTAAAGAATTCTTTGTGTTTTTAGAACTTTCATTTTGATATCGATGGTGAAGGCAGAGACTAATTTTACCACTCGAAAAGTATGTAGCACCTTCGAGTTGGCGACGTTATGAAAAAACGTAACATAATCATGATCACAATTCATTTCCAGGGATTCCAAGATGTACTTCGTATTGCCCTTTTGGAAGACAATTGGCTGTGGGAAACATACATATTTATTTTAATTATATTTACAGCTAGTAGACTGGGAATACCTTCTCTATTGCTACTACACAGAGTGTGCATAATAGACAGATGAAAAAAACAGAACAGCCACAAAAAGCCATGAAGTCACAACTGACAAAATTATATTTTTTCGACCTATTACTTTAACTAACTACCACAAACTCATTCATTGGGAGAGTTTACTTAAAAATCGTTAATTGCACACAATTATTTTATTTTTAAAGTAAATGCCGAACCCGAAGATTATGTACCCTTACAACAGTTAAAAAATATAAAACAAATTCTTCATTTCGATTTAAATGGGTTTGAGAAACAATGAAGCTATGTCGTTTTTTAAAAATGCCATCTGATAATGACATCAATTTTTTTTTTTAATTAAATAAGTAATTCTAAAGTATATATAACATTGGAAATACATTAAAAAAGTAGTATCTGCACCTGTCCCCAGGAATCTGAAATTCCTTTTTGCCTTTTGTAGTGGGTGCAAGCCACGTTTCGAATGAGCAATTCACAACGAAATATTCTATCAGCTTAGGCGACTTAAGAAGAGCACTTGAAAAATACATATACAGCTAAGAAGAAAATGTTTTCGACCCGCACATTTTAATACATCCACATCATTTCCATAGCGAACGTCTGTTTACTTTCCGCCGTTTTAATCAGCTGAAAGCGTCCAGGTTTAAAATAGTAAATAGTAAGCCATGGGCTTGATAAGTTATTTAAAGAGACTGCAATTGAAAACTTTAAATACTTTAAAAAACACCTGTTTTTTAAGGGACTCGCAGCCGTTAACGCCTTCAACATCAGCAGTACTTTCTGTGTTTTCAGCATTTTTATTGTAATATCCATGGTGAAAGCTGGGGTCAATTGCTTCACTCGGAATGTGTATAGCAGCGTAGTGTTTCCCTCAGCGGGAATTTCGAATGTAAAGTCCCAGGATGCTGAGGTCAACTACTCTACCACAGACAGCATGCAAAGCAGGAAAAGGGACATTACCTCTGAAACCCATGCAGCCACAACTGGCTTAGTGATTTTATTTCCTCGACCACAATTCCACTGATGAGTTATTAATTGACCACAACCCAATCATTCAGGTGGAAGATTACTTAATATCGCAGTCGGGAAAAATCCAGTTATAGTCAGACATTTTTTTGCATATAAATGAAAAAAATGTGAAATGTGAAATGTGCAATCATGTTTTTCGTGATGTTTTAATAACTTCTAATATATATATTCATTATATTTATTCAATATATATAGTCATCATATATGTTCATCATATTTATTCAATATATATAGTCATTATATATATTCATCATATATATTCATCATATATTCATGAAAAGAAAAGTTTTTCTATTTTGGAAGATACTACATTTATTTATTGCCATGTTGGCTAATACGTAAATTACTATTAAATACAACTGCCGAAAAGAGGTAAGTTAATTCGCTTTCAATTTTGAAGGACCAATTAAATGTGCATCCCACTAACAGCCCATTTTACTTTATACGAACTACATTATAGATCCACAGCATCTCCATCACAAAGGGGCCGCGACTTTCATGCATCTTGACGCGCATGGTGATCTGATATCTTCCAGGAGGGTGAAAAGTGGGCAGCATGGCCACAGAGCCCTCATTCCTAAGATAATAGACTCCCGGCTTTATAGGACAGCTAAAGAAAGTACCATTCACAATTAGCCGCTTGTACACAGATCCGAAAACGCGATTCATCAGGGGATTCATTAAAAACTGACAGCCATCCAAGTTGTCCACCTTGTACATTACTCTCTTTGTTTTTAGGACCCTCACCGCTATATCGATGGAAAATGTTGATGCCAGTTTCACCACACGGAAGGTGTAGATGTCCAGCTTGTCGGGGACTTTTCGAAAGTAGTCCACAAAGACGTGATCACAACTGGTCACCAAAGATTCCATGATGAACTTAGAACCTCCCCTTCTAAAAACTGGCGGTTGCTGTGGTGCATCGAGGAAATTAGAATATTCTTTGAATTTAAATAATATAACTACCTGTTGATCCACAGCTAAAACAACTGCACCTATCCACAGGAAGGCAAACGAACATGCTCCAAACCTAAAAAACATTTTCGTACTAATCAAACAAACCAATTTCCGCTTTGGTTTGGTCTTCTCTCATTAATGACCTATTAATTGTGGCATTCAAGCGCTAAGTTAATGAGTATTATAAGCAGAACATGTTTTGATCAGACAATACTTACATACGTCGTTAGATTGCCAAACATTTTAAAATTATATTTTATTTCCAGGTGACAGTTTATTTAATATTACCTTTTTGTTTTTTATTCACACCAAAAGTTAAGCCAAATCAATTTTTTGTACGCATAACACGATATCTCCAGATGATCTTCATAACAATAGATCCTTCCTTCTCTGTTCTTATGTGGACATTTAAACGAAAATTTCCAGAAGGATGAAATGAAGGCACTACCACTTCTCGGATACAATTTTTTAGATAGTACACGCCTGGTTTTATAGGACACTTAATCACAGTAGAATTACCCACGAATTCGTCATAGAACGCCGAGTAAAGCTTGTAAAGCGCACGATTATTTAAAAAAGGGCAGATGGCGAAGTTTTTGACATTGAATACTGTTCTGTTTATGTCCTCGTTAACAATGCTATTATCCATGAATATAGTTTTTATCAACTGTGTTGAATTTATCATTAGCATTTCAGATTGCTCAGAAGCAAAGCCAAAATATTCAAGGAATTTCTTATCGTATTTCAATTCCTGGCTTATACACACGGCCTTAGGGATGTGACCCTGAAAATATTAGGATTTTTATATATTTTTTTAGGTTTCTAAATTTCGAATATCACACACCTTTTCCTGTGCATTGATTCCCATCGAAATCAAGCAAAGACTCACATAGATCGATATGTACGGGGCCATTATTGAACTATTACTAAATTTAGCTAGCTTTCGTTCAACGGTGATCAACAAACTAAAGCAATCCATAACGATTATCGCAATTATTTTGTTAAAGTGCTGAATATGTTCAATAGCTATATGGTTTTGGTTTTTAAGGTTAAAGCAAACAATAGCTAAATCAAATTATTCGCATCCCCTTCTTTGCCGTGAATCCACTTTGGTTTTTTGTAATTTTCCATACACTGAATTGGCACTCAAACAAAACGGTAAGAGCTGTGGATATTGATTGGTTTTAGGGGTTCTCCTTTTTGGACAGGTTTTCATGTGAGATAGTCAACTTTTTTTATACAATTTCATTGTGAGAGGGGTAACAGGTTACAAAAATACAACAGACCAGTGCATGTTTGCACTATTCATAAACACTAAAACAATTTTCTTTCAAATACTCTTTTAAACAATTTTATTGTTCAATATAGAAGACCTGATAAAAAATAGTTGATAAGTAAAATGCAACATTTATTAAAAAAAATCTTTTCCTTTGATTCTTAATTCCCCAACCAATTTTTCGACCTTTTCAAGTATTCCCGGACGACTGGTGTCAACCGCTTGTCCTTTTCTTAGACTTCGATTAGCTTAACGAGCTTTAAGCCTTCACTTGAATAATTCACAAGACAGGACATTGGTGCTATCCCCACCCTTTGCAGAAAATCGATTAATCGATCGCCAGCTGAACAACATAGAGCATGGGGCAAATCATTTTGCCGATTGCAGTTGGCGAGCGTAATTAAAAGACTATTTTTGGACGAGTGGGCAAATTGGTGGCACGGTAACTTCTGCACAGTCAGTGGGGCGTATGCGCAATGTCATGTAATGGACAAATTCACTTACCTTTCGCCGTCATCGTTAAATGAGAAATCGCCGAGCAGAAGATCTCGAAAACGATATCGTGGTTGTATAAGGCGCGACATGTTGCTGTTGTTATTGCTGTTGATGTTGCTGCTGTTGATGTTGTTGCTGTTGCTGTTGATGTTGCTGCTGTTGCTGTTGATGTTGCTGCTGTTGTTCGCGTTGCTGTTGCTGATGTTTGTGGTCGTTATGGTCGGCACTCGCAGCTCGGCGATGGTTTCTGCCACTGGCTCGCCAGCCCCTTCACTTATTCGAATATCACTAAAGTCCGTCACATTAATTAAACACTCATCGGCATGGCCCCGCCGCCCAAGCCACTCCTTATCCTTGCCCTGCTCCTGGAGATGCCTTCGTCCTGTGACGAACTCATCGTCGCGCGGCGCACTTGTGCCCGTCAGCAGGTAGCCGCCAGTGGCCCGATTGGGCCGCGGCGAGCGTAGGCGCGTCCACAGATTGGCGAGTGTCCTTCTGGTCGAACAATGCCCTTACCTTTCCCCGGCACCTCTTCAGCCTGGTCGAGGACCCTCCGCGGAGTCCGGCTCTGACGGTTCTTTAATTAAACCGATGGCACCGGTGAATTTATTAGCATTACAGCGGTCTCGCGACAGGTGCGTGCAGGTGTATCGATCTCGGTTCGGACATGGCTCTGGAAGTATGCACACAAAATGGAAATACAGGAAATCAATAAAGAGAGGACAATAAATGAGCCCAACATTTATATGGCTGTAATATTACATTTATATTCGGTGGTGCCCGGGATATCTTTAGATTCCTAAATTCATTTGTTATTATTAATACCGCTATACTTTTTATAGTATACTGTAAAACCCTTGTTTATGTTTTCAAGCCTCTGTGACAGCTAAAATTGAATTCAATCTCATCTCAGATTCTAAGTTCTACAAAATGTACTCTTTTCAAAGTGAACTTCTCAATAGGTTAAAAATCAATTTGATTAAAAAACCGGGCAAACATTGATAAGAAACCCTTCCACATTACCACTCAAAAATAGCAAGTAATTTCTATCTCACACTTGCGATTTGACCGCATTGCTTTTCCAGTTTTAAAACCTTTCAGCTTGGCCCATAAATCCCGGCTGTCAGCAATCCAATTCACGTCAAAGGGCAACAAATTCAATTCAAACAACACGCGCAAACATGCGCCAAGGACGAGCAAACAAACAAACAGATAAGCAAACAGACAGTTGGACACATGAGTGAGAAAGGTGGAAGCTAGCCATAGCCATAGTCATAGTATACCAAAGTATATATAGATGCTGATGCTTCAGGAGTACAAGGAGCCGAATCAAATCATCGCACAGACGGAAAAACACACAGCGCACAGATTGGCGGCACTTGAAGGCACTTCAAGTTCACCACTTGTTGTTGTCTGTTTGTGAAAAATGTACGCAATTATTGCCGCCAGGACGAAATAAAGAGGGGACAATCAGAGGGGCCAGGTGTCCTGTGCTTCCCGCGAATGCGCTAAATAAATTTCCCGCCCGTTTGTTTCGCACATTAATTAGATTTACTCCGCCGTGTATCTCTGTCGGAGCGCTTCTCACCATTTGGCATATTTATGCGACTGGGAAATGTTTTACTTAAAGTGTTTTTTAATTAGTTACAGCAAATTAGCGCTGGCGAAATTAACAAATTTGTATACAGCATCTGTCGCTGGCGCTGGAATTTCCCCCACCATTAGGCTACTCGCAAATTAGTTTTTCAATTAGATTTATAGTTTTTGCCGGCATTAAAGTTTTAGCCCGCACAAGCGTAAATTAATGGACAAACAAGTGTCTTAAAGGAAGCAAGCATTTGCAGTCATTTTATCGCAAAAGCGAACATAATAATTAAATTATCCCATAGTTTTCATCTGTATAATTTATAAGGCATCAAAAAATTGTATTTTCTAGATATAATATGTGAATTGTAACTGTAAAATTTACATTTATTTGTCCAAAAATTCCATCGAACTTTTTGTGGCAAGAAATTTTTTGATGTCTGACTTTTTGCCATAATAAACGATTAATATGTTAACAAATGTTCATTGCGGCCACTTTTTGTGTTTGAAAATGCTAATACCCTGGCAGATTGGAAGGATTTATCTAATAGCTTCTTTTGGAACAATTTGGTCAAAATTGTTAAATTTTTGTAAAAATTGCTGGTTTTTGACCAGTGTTTAGTGTTAGTGTTTAGAACCATAGGTGCAGAATAAAATATACATATATTCTTCAAAATTTACAAGACATAATTGCGCTTTCCTTTTCGTGACAAGGCAAAAATTGGTTTTTATTTTTAAAAATCAGAGTGGGTATTAAAACTTCGACTTGCCAAAGTTAGCTTCCGTTACCTTTTCTTTTAATTTACAGAATTTTTTACGGTACACCGTTGCTATTTTGTTTTCATTGATAAAACCAAATTTTTGGGCTTTGTTTGCTTTGATTTATTGTATTTAATTCCTGCATATTATTTGTTATATTCACAAACAACAGTTCAATTTAATTTCCTTCCTGCAGAAACTAATCTAATCTAGTATTTATTTCGTCCTATTTGGCTCGTTAGTTTCGCAATTTGTTTGGTAGTAAATGGAGCTGCTTCCTGCACCGTGCCGAACCCATTTAATTTCTAATCATTATTTATGAAATACCACCACATTAAGCGAGGCTTCCCATTGTTATTTGTGCATGCCAAGATATGCCATAATGTCTTAATTATCTTTTTGCCGGCACACAAAACGATTTGCTAGCCCACGCATAGAAGGATATTTTTCGGTTTTTTGTGATTTATAGACTGCTCTTAGGCCCAAAAGTGAGAGGATCTCCGAGCGGATAACAAATTATTGTTTTCCATGCACAGGAAGGAGGGACGTTTTCCATTATTTTCCAAAAAAGAAAAGCTACACTTTTGCGTGTGCCCGAAGAGGCAGGGGTGTAACCCCTATTTTCTATTGGTCTGCGCGAGTGTGCGTCTGCCTGTGTGGGTGTATTCATCAACAATAATTGCCCAGACCTGTGCTCCTAAGCCTTTCGCTCTCGCGTGTCCCGTTCAGTTGGCCCTAACCTTTCTTTGTTGCACTTGAAAAACTGTTTTTTTTTACATTTTTGACGGAAATAATATGAAATAATTGTTTTGCTTATCAAGCCTCATTGATGGTGTTTAAAAAAGTAAGCTGCAATACATTTGGAAGCCTAGAGTTGAATAGATTGCTCGCGTTATATATTTTTTACAGCATACTTTTAGGCACATTTTTATTTTTTTACAAGCCACTAGTAATTTCTATATAATTCCTCATTGAGCAAATTTTTCTATTGTGCAAGTAGCTTCTTGTTACCGATAGTAAAATTTTAATTTTTTGAATTTGTTAAGAATGATAATCAACATAAATTTATTTCAATTTTACAATTGCTTAGATTTTTTATCTGTTTTTCTCGTTCATACTATAAATCTGTATTTTCAATTTGCCGCCAAAATCGAGGGGTTAATAAAAATATTTCTTCTTTTTATTTGCTTCGAAAACGTAATAAAAATATAATAAAAATAGCATTCAGTATTTGGTAGAACATTTTTGTTTCCAGTATTTTCTGGTTTTCTCATCATCAACACTGGAAGCAAGGGAGGCTTTTCTTGCCGTCTTTGTTTTCCTAAGTCTTTATTATTCTTTGGCCTAAACAATGTCCCGCAAGAAGTCGTCGCCAGTTGTCTTTGCTGGTTTTGTTTTTGTTGTAACTTTTGTTGTTGTTCTTGTTGCACAAGTATTAACTAAAGGACCCCGAAGCTGCTAAACAAGCCGCATCCGCGGTCTGCCCGACCGACCCCCTTTTACATCCACTCGTTATTATTATTTTTGCTGGATTTTTTTTGTGACACTTGGAATATTTTATAACAAAAACTTGACCCGCTTTTCTCCACAGCGAAGGAAATCCGCATTTCCTGTCCTTTACATCGCCACACACCTGCTCATCAACCAACTGCTGACTTATTGTTTTATTTTTTGGTTCTTTTATCATTGTCCCGCCCGTCACTCTCACATATTCCCACTTTTTTCGATTTAATCCCGCTTTTTATTTTCCAACTTCTTTTCTCAGCTGCGCAACGCCGCTTAATTAAAATTAACATTGC